AGAAAACTAAAAATAGGAATTCTGTTTGACACATCCACTCCCCCCTAGACATTTTTAAGAAGATTTAAAGTCATCATATTATAGGGACTCAGGCATGTACATATTTATAGTATCAGAATTTACACTAGTCAGATCTGGAAACACCATGTATGTCCATCAGCGGAAAGGTGGGTAAGCAAAATGTATTTATACATCACAGAGTGCTACTCTGCCAAAATGACAGGCTTCAGGTATTTGTAGTTATATGGTAGCAATTTGAAAACTTAATTTAAGACAAATAAGTCTTGCAGACAAGCTGGGATATCATATGGTTTCTGTTATATGAGAATATGTATATATATATTTATATTTGTATATATATACAAAAATATATTTTCTATTTTTGGGGGGGTACCAGGAATTGAACTCAGGCCCTTGTGCTTGCTAGGCAGGCGCTTGTGCTGCTTAGGAATATCCCTGGCCCTAAAATTATATTTTCTATATATGCAATCTCTCTCTATACACACACAGACACACACACACACACACAAAGAGCAAAGTAGAATTTACATAAATAGGAAGTAGGGAGAAGTTCCCATATTCCCTAAATTACCTATTCCATTTATCAAAAATATTTTCATATATATTCTAATTTTTTCCTGTATAATATTAATTTCTCTTAGTTTCCTTGAAATGAAAGTTTTATGGCAGAAAAAAAAAAAAGAAAGTTTTATGGCATTGTCTGTTTCTTCTTTTTTTTGGTTTTTCTCCGGTACCGGGAACCGAACTCACGACCTTGCACTTGCCAGGCAGGTGCTTTTGCCGCTGAGCTAAATCCCCAGCCCCTGTCTGTTTCTTCTTAGTTAAGAGAAAATGTGTTTTGTCTCTGAGTTACTGCAAAGAATATAATACAATGCACTAAGCATTGTTGCTGTCTTACACTCTTGCTATAAAGTATTGTTTTACTGTTTCATAAAATAAAAAGAAATAAATACAAATATCCCTAATAAACTTCAAAGCAGTGGGAAGAGTGACTGTTCTAGTCACATCACTTTTGAGAGTTTGGAGCCGTGGTGGCCAACCTATGACACACATAGAATTGTGTTTGAGTGGATTATTTGTGTGCTAGTTATGTGAAAACAAAATATGTTAATTTCCAAGTTGTTTAAAACCTCAGTACTGAGGCTGATTTGTAGTGTTGGCCCTTTGTGATAAAGAACTGGGTCTGGGCCCTCATTTCCCAAGGTTTGGCGTCCCTGGTCTAGAGCGTCTGCGGTGTCACGACGGTGCGGTGAAGTGTGGGTCCTGGCAGCTCCTCCAGGGATTCCTGGCATTTAGCATAGGATAACAGACAGGGTCAGGTGTGGAGTTCTGAGCAGGAAACCACAGGTGCAGCATTGGGTCCGCTAGCAGAATGCATACCGCACCAAGGGAAGTGATCTCATCACCATGTTTTCATTAGGTAACTCCAGGAACAATTTCAAACTGGAATTGTTGTTACTTTATTTTTTATTTTTATGTGAGATGTAAAGTTACAGTGTGTAGCTACATGCAAGGAATTAATTACTGTAGGAAGCAGATTTACCACACAGCACCTTCCACATTTCCTGTTTCTCTGTATGCAGCATGAGCAACTGAAATTTATTTTTCCCAAACTTAGTATGCAATGCGGCCGTACTCATGTGATCTTCTGAGTGTGCGGGAGATCTCAGCTTACACACCCTATGTGAGGCAGAGCTTACTATCTGACATACTTCTTGTCATTTCCTCCAGTCAGGAGTCCTGGGAACCACCATGCTACAAATGCTTTGATGTAGCTCACTTCATTTCATATCCAAAATGCGCAAGGAATCTCACGCATCATTTATTTGTTCTTTTTACGACGCTGAGCAGTGAACCCAGAAGCTTGCGTACCTCAGGTGAGCGCACTACAGGTGAGGCGCACCTCCAGCTCCTTATAAATCTTATTTTGATGCAATCTCTTTACATTTCCAGCTAGCCCGGAACTTGTGACACCCCTGCCTCAGTTTACCCGGGATGTGGGGTAGGGAGGCTGGCAATTTTCCTTTCAACTGATAGTGAGTAGGCTTAAAACTTCGAAGGAGAGATTGTCACCAGGAGTTGGGGCTCTCGGGCCTCCCCCCAGGGGTGTCTTCTCGGTTCTTTCTGCCCTGGGCAAGGAGATGGTGCACAGAAGTGTGACGGCAGCGAGCCTGCGCAGGAAATACCGGCAGAGGGAGCGGCGCGCTCTGCAGACGCAGCTGGGGCTCCCCGGCGGAGCAGGGGCGCCCTCGGGAAGGAGGACACAGCGCGGGTGTCCGATCCTTTCCTTTGCTTCTCAGGCTGACATCCGGTCTACTCCATCCTGAAAAACTGTTTCCAGGTCCCCTCAGCAGCACCGTGCGCTTGTGTGCCCTGGACTCCCCGCTCGCAGCTCAGCCCAGAGGCCGCCGGCTTTGCCCCCCACGGTCTCCGGCCCCGGGATGAGACTTGCACCCCGGTATGGACGCGATCAGACCCAGACCTCCGCGCAAACAGTGAGAGCCGGCGCGGTGCGCCGCGGGCGGCCTGGAAGCCGAGGACGAGCTGGGGACACGGGGAGCGCCCGCTCCAGCACCCCCGCTGCCCTGCAAAGCTGCCCTCCGCGAGGTCCGCGGACTCCTTCGGAACAGCGGCTCTTTCCCGTCCTCGGCCTCTCACATTTTATTTCCCAGGGTCCTTCGAAGCAGGGATGTCAAATACTTTTTACCCAACTGGAGCTACAGCCCCTCTCCGTGCACTTTTTCCACCTTCTTTGTTTACTTTCCAACTGTCAAACCTCAAACAAGCTTCAGCCATCTTCGGTCTCCCTCACGCGGACCCGCAGGAAGAGATTTAAAGACAGAGCCCTGGACCTCGGGGTCAGAGCAAGTGCGCGCCCCGCCGCCGCGCGTTCTGGGTCGAACTCGGTCCCGGACGCCGCACAGCTCCGCGTCCTCCGCACCCCGCCGGCCGGGGAGGCTGAGGCAGGAGCGCCCTCTGTGCAGGCTCCGCACCCCGCCGGCCCGGACAGCGCCGCTGGTTTCTACTGCGGAGAAGGAAAGACGGAAGGAACGGCGACCTCCCGAGGAAAGCAGTGGCCGACACCGAGCGTTCGAAGCGCGGAAAGCAGCCGCGGGGGGACTCCAGGACGCGCGGCGACACCGCCCTGAGAGCACCGGAGACGCAGCCGCCCTGCGACACTCAGGCCGCTCCTCCCGGGCCGGGGGCGCGTGTCCCGGTGCGCGTGGGCGGTGGGCGCGGGGCGCGGGTCCCGGGTACGGGCTGGCGTTAGACGTTTCTTTGAATCTGACTGCGAGTGGAATTGCGCACGGTTTTCCTTAGGAACCTCTTTTTCATTACTATTGTGTGATGCACACGCGCTCCTCGCGACGAGAAGTTTCTGCTCGGTGCGCGTGGAGACGCCTGCCCCTTGGCCGTGCTGTAACCGAGCTCTGCCGACCTCGTCCTCTGGGCGCCCGGCCGCACCCCGCGATCGCGCTGCGCCGGGTCCCCCGCCCTGCTGTTCCCTCCCGTCCGGCCCCGACAGTGAGAAGCTCGCTGAAGCACCCCTCTGACAGAAGCGACTTCGAGGAGAGTGGAAGTGGAGAATGATCCGCCTCCGCAGACGTCAGTCCCAAGCTCCAGGCGGGGCGTCCGCTGCGCAGTCTCCGCGGGGTCCAGTGGGAGGAGCCCGGTGTCTCCAGGAAGATACGAACGTGCCCCGTGCTGAGTGGCAGAAGACGTCTGAAAACCTATAATCTGTATTATTATAAGTTTCCATAATATTTTAAATAAAGAACAATTTGTGTATTCTAAAATATGCCATCAGAATAAATTATTATAAATGAAGTAAAATATTAGAAACTACACTGTATGCCCAAAGTGTAAATTAATACAAAATAAATGAAATAATTTTATTGCCCACTAGAACAGAACATTAAAAGTATTTTCAGTACTTCTCTCTACTTTGGTAAGGGTAACACATAAAAAAGTTGTAGAATCAACGTTAAAGGTGATTACAATATATGATGCATGTTTAAATTTAAAAATGTGATCACAATAAAGGAGGGGTACAGGAAGGAAGGGAAAAGAAAAAAACAGGAAGAGAAGGAAAAGATGGAAACACAAATCTTTTGTGAATAAGAAGGGGCGGGGGGGTTAAAGGGAGTGCGGGGAAATGGGAAAGAAAAAGAATAAAAATATATTATGCACAGGTACAAATTCCCTATGATGAATGTGATCATTACACTTACCTAAAATGTACCAATAAATGTAATTAATTTTAAAAGGATACATTGCTATTAATCCTCATGAAAACCTTCCCGCTCACTTTGAATACACCTATATGACCGATCCTGTCCAAGCTGAGGAACTTGTGGAAGTCTCCTGCTTCAGTGTCTTTGGAAAGTAGGACAAAAAGTACTGAGAATTGTGCTGCGATTTCATCCCTTGCTTCACCAGATCTGGCACCACATAAAGTCTACTTTTTCTCCAAAGTGAACAAAACCAGGAAAGATAAATGTTTTGCATCAATTCGAGACATAAACATGGCCACAACAGCCCGACAAATGACAAGGAGGAGGACTTCCTCAAGTGCTTCAGAAAGCAGTGAAGAAGATCGGGTAGGTGTGTTCAAAAGAGAAGAGGATTTTGAGGGGATTAATGGTGATGTCTCTTTCACTGCTTCAATTTATGAATTTAAACATTCAAGAAGATTTGGGTCATACCTCATGTTCTTATGTGTGCGAGGTTTACAACATGTTCCCTTGTCATTTCTTTATGTCAACAAAATAGTGTCCTCGCATTAATGAAAGATACAGGCTCACTATTGTGATGGAGAAGAAGCAACAAAAGAAAACAAAAATTATTACCTAGAATACATAAGTGTATCAAATCTGAAAGTTTTTAAACCTACTGATTAATTTTACTATGCGAAATACAGGCAAATAATATTTTTCTAGGGCAGACACAAGAATGAATCTACAAGGGCATAGATGTATCTACATTTTCCCAGAGCAGATTCTCTGGGTCACTCTTCCCAGGGCCCCCAGCACCTCCTTGTTCCTCAGGCTGTAGATCACAGGGTTGAGCGCTGGGGTGAGCATGGAATAGAAGACAGCCAAGACCTTGTCCTCGGCTGGAGATCGGAGGGACTTTGGGCGGAGATAAGTGTAAGCAAAAGGTGCCATGTAGAAAGTCACCACCGTGAGGTGGGTGCTGCAGGTGGAGTAGGCCTTCCTCCTGCCTTCTCGAGAGCTCATGCGGCAGACAGCAAGGAGAATTTTCCCATAGGAAAACACAATGACTGTGGAGGGGAACAGGAGAAAGAAAGTGGTACTCAGAAAAACAGTGTACTCGTAGACCCTGGTGTCCATGCAGGCCAGAGTCAGCATGGCGGGGACATCACAGAAGAAGTGATCGATGGCCCTGGACCTGCAGTAAGGGATGTGAAAGGCATACACTGTGTGCGCACAGGCATTGAGAGCACCTATTGCCCAGGATCCCAGGATCAACAGCACACACACCCTTCTGTTCATGCGGATGGGGTAGTGCAGAGGACAGCAAATGGCCACGTAACGGTCATAGGCCATGGACATCAGGATCAGTCCTTCTGCACCTGCCAAAGTCAAGAAGAAGAAACTCTGGAAGCCACACCCAAGGAAGGAGATGTACTTGTTTCCAGATAGAAACCCGGAAGCCATCTTGGGGACAGTGGTGGAGACGTAGATGAGGTCCATGAGGGAGAGCTGACTGAGCAGGATGTACATGGGCGTGTGGAGCTGGGCGTCCAGGAGGATGAGCAGAACCATGGACAGGTTGCCAGCCAAAGCCATTAGGAAGATGGGGGTGATGAGAATGAAGAGGGCAAGGCCAGCCCTTGATGGGGGCAACAGGCCCAGGAGGATGAAGTCGGTAGAGGTCTGAGTGTCATTTTCCATTATGATTTTATATAGTTTATCCTGAAGACAGATACAACAGTTAATGTATATAATCATTAATAAATTTGACAAAGTCCCTAGTGTAATCAGCTTGTTACATAGTCAAAACTTCCACATATTTTAAAATATAAAGGTGAATAATTACTGATCATTATCCAATTTAGAAAAATTCCCTGTAAAATTATCTCGTGCTTGGGCTGGGGGTTTAGCTCAGCGGCAAAAGCGCCTGCCTGGCAAG